TTTTAATAAATAAATTTAACTTGTATCCATCTTATTATTATATAAATATTAATAATCAAATTTATAGCATTTATTGGGAAACATCCACCAAGGCAAGAAAGATTACTTTAAGTATAAAAAAATATGTTGTTTTAATAAGTAATTGAGATTGGCAAAATGGTTAATTAATTAGTGTTGCAAGCAAATGACTTGGGTTCAAAACTTTTTACCTTTGGTTTGTGATTTTTAACAAGTTATTTGACTTAAAATAACATTTAATGACATTAAATTTAAACGTTTCGGATTGTTTCGGATTGTATCGACCAATGCGGACGAAAAAATACAAAACCATTTAATTAGACATGTTCCGTGTATTGGAACTCTTCCGATACGACCGATACGTTACGAAATTTAAAACCTTGGTTATAACTTATAAGGGCTTCCAAAGCCTATAAATAGAATCCTCTTTCGATCTTTATTTTATTTATTAATTTATTTATTTTTTACATAGAAAAGTTATGACTTATGAGGTCATTAATTCTATTCTATTCTTCTTATAACAAATAGAATTACAACATACCAAAGAAGGAATGCAAACTAGACTATTTGATATGGCCTTCGTGACAACTCCATTTGGCACACACTGATTGGAAAGAAAACTTGAAAGGATTCCATTGGCTTCTTTTATTTTATACATTTAATCTATTTTATATACTATTAGAAAATCATGTTACATCACAAATAGTTAAAGTAATGGCACGAATATAACAAAATACAAAATTTGATATACAAAAAAAAAACAAACAAATTAATCTTTAAAAGAAATTTGTTGTTGATTAGGAGACTAATCGTTAATTAACTAAGGCTCAGTTTGGAAGGAGTACAAATGCAAATATGTAGAGTGTAAAACCTTATATTTTGTATTATTTTGTATGCATTTGCACTGTACATATTTGTATTTGTACTCCTTCCAAACTGAGCCTAATTGACTTAGTTAATGCTTAGTCATCCTAGTTAGTGATGCAGCCGTTTGACCCTAAGCTGATTAATCAATTGACTAGGAGTGAATACAATGTCAACACTCTTGGTCGAATAGAGAAAAGAACAAGAATAATCTTACAAGTATCAAGAAATGAATTGACCCCCACCTCAAAGAGTCTTTTATATATTAAAAGATATATACAATTACAATAATGCCCATATAGGGCTGAAAGAGAAAAGAAGAATAAGATGTATAAATAATATACAACAAGGACTATACTAATAAGATACATCAAGTTACAGAATCTCCACACTCCCCCTCAAATTGATGCCTAGACATAAGCATCAGATTGTCTAAGAAAGAGATATCAAACTCTAGTCATAGCTTTGGTGAAGATATCAGCAATCTACATGTCTGAGGCTACATGAGGAAGTGATATAAACCCAGTTGTGAAAAGATCTCGAATAAAGTGGCAGTTCACCTCGATGTGCTTGGTCCTCTCATGGAAAACAGGGTTAGATGCAATCTTGATAGCACTCGTATTGCCTACATAGAGAGGAATAGGAGTAGGAAGATGAATGCCAAGATCCATAAAGAGAGATCATAACGAAACAATCTCACTACAAATCGAAGACATTGCACTATACTTTGCTTCAATGGAAGACTTGGAGACTATTTGTTGTTTCTTACACTTCCAAAAGATGAGTGAATCACCCATAAAAACACACCACCCAGAACTGGACCTATGATTGTCTGGACAATCAGCCCAATTCGCATCAGCATATGCTCTTAACTGAATTGGAGAAGAGGAGAAGAGTGGTCCCTAAGAAGTTGTGCTTCTAACATATTGAATGATGCAATGAACAACAGTCATATGAGGCAAATGAAGAGCATAAACAAATTGACTAACAACTTAAACAACATGAGAAATATCAATCCGAGTCATAGTGAAATAAATAAGGGATCCCACAAGTTAGTGATACAAGGCAACATCAGAAAGTAATAGACCTTCAGATTTAGATAGCTTAAGATTTAGCTCCATATGTGCATCAACATGCTTTTCATCATTAAGACCAACAAGTTTAACAAGGTCAGAAACATACTTCTGCTAACAAACAAAATACCCTCGATCACTACAATGTACTTCTAGTCCCAGAAAATAGGTGAGAGGGCCCAAGTCCTTCATGTGAAAGGAATTATGAAGTAATAATTTCAATTCACGAATGCCCTCAGCATCATTCCCAATCAACATGTCATCAACATATAGTTGGAGAATGGTAATACCCTGAGGCTGTTGCCTAACAAAGAGAGTGATCAGAAGAACTTTGGCTATATCCAGCAACAACTACAACATCGCGAAAGCATTCAAGCTATGCCCGAGGAACTTGTTTTAAACCATATAGAGATTTTTTGAGGTGACATACTAAAGAATGACCACTACAGTATCCAGGAGGAGGCTTCATGTAGACCGTCTCCTTCAACTGACAATGAAGAGAGGCATTCTTCACATAAAACTGGCATATGGTCCAAGACTGAGCGACAAACATTACTTAAAGAACACAGATTGTGGTGATCTTTGCAACAGAAGCAAATGTTTCTTCATAGTCGATACCATACTCCTAACTATATCCCTGGGCAACTAAACATGCCTTGTATCAATAAAGAGATCCATCAGATTTCATCTTTGTGTTATAAACCCAACGACTCCCAGCAATGGATGCATCTAGAGGAGCAGGCACAAGGTCCTAAGTGTCATTCTCATGTAAAGCATGAATCTCTACATCCATGGCTTCCTTCCAATGAGGGCTACTATTAGCTTCCTGGTAAGAGCGAAGAACACCTATGGAGGATAGGATAATAGACAAAGAGCTTTGGTTTAAAGAAAACCATAGCGGTCAAAAGGTCTAGATATACGAGTAGAACGACGAAGAAGAACAGAAATATGAAGAGTGTCTGAAGTAGATGTATCACTTACAGGAGCGATGGTAAGATGATCTGAACTGGGAGGAAGGAGAGTCGTATGCGCAGGGGCTGGATCACATAACTGCTTGTGAGACAAGACGAGAAGGTCCTTCTCAGTAGAAGGAGGTGGAGCATCCTGTGAATCAAAGTTTGGCAAATAGAAACAGACGGTGCAAATAGTCTAGCAATTCCAGCAAGAAAGGAAATGTGCTCAAGGAAAACAACATTACATAATATACGAATGCGACGAATAGAGGGATCATAATAAAGAAATTCTTTGTGATCAGGACTATAACCCACAAAGGCACATGCGGAAGACTGTGTAGATAATTTAGAACGTTCACGAGAGGGAATATGAACAAAGCACATACATCTAAAAACATAAAGCATAGATAAATCTGGAGAACGACCAAACAATTTCTGAAAGGGAGACACCTCTTAAAGATCAATTTCCTTCTCTTTTCTCCCTTTCTAGATACAAAAACTTAACTGCCTCTTCTTTAGTGTCTTCCGTTGGGTGAGGACTTCAGATTAATTGGGATTTGGGCTTCAAACGAGGCTTAGAGATTCTGAGATGGACTTGGTGTGGTCCTTGATTCAGGTTCTCCAAAAGGTTTCTTTAGATCCAATTAAAGGGGATTCCCAAATTTGGACCCTCTTTTCTTCTGGTTCTTTCAGTTGTGCCTCCTTTTTTAGTGCCCTTGCCTAGTCTTCTGTTGCCCCTGCCTCTCCCTTCCCCTCTAAAGAAGTGTGGGGAAGACTACTCCCACCTAGGGTTGGAGCACTCTGTTGGGAAATAACTTTGGAAAGAATTAATACCTGTGATATTCTTCAAAGAAAGAAGCCTTTTTGGTGCTTATCCCTGCATTGGTGTACCCTTGGTAAAGCTAATGGTGAATCTTGTTCTCATTTACTTATATCTTGCCCTTTTATTTCTTCTATTTGGGTGTGGTTTCTCTCTTTATTTGGTTGCAGGTGGACTCCTCCATTGTGCATTCGTAGCCTCTTCACTTATGCAGTTGATTGCCGAATAAAAAAGAGGGGAAAAATCTTGTGGAGGTGCAATAAGGCAGTAGTATGTTGGATGATTTGGGAGGAAAGGAACCAAAGGATATTCATTGAAAGAGAAAGAAGTAGGGACACAATTATAGAAGTAATTTCATTAAGGGTAACACAATAGGTAAAAACAATGAATATCTTTGAGGATGTTTCAATAGAGACCATCATGAATAATTGGCAAGAGATAGTTGTCTCAGCTCCCAGTAAACTGAATATACGTCTGATGTGGATCCCTCTGATGGAAGGCTTTATCAAACTCAACTTTGATGAGAGCAGTAAAGGAAACCCAAGGCCATCAAGGATTGGTGGTGTGTACAGAACAGAGATAGGTTCAATGATAGCTCTTTTTTCTGGACCAATTGGATTTGGAGACTCTTTGAGAGCAGAGATTCAAGCTCTCCTGGAGGGGGTGAAAAGGGCTAAGGAGTTGAATATAAATAAGTTGATTATTGAAGGTGATTCACAAGTGGTAATTGGTTGGGTAGAGAAGGCAAGCGACAGGTTATGGGCTTACACTAATGAAAAAAGGCAGTTCAAGTGGCTAACCCAAGGAATGGATGTGTGGGTTCAGTGGGTTAAAAGATGTGCTAATTCATTTGTAGGTACTTTGGCCAAACAGGGGGTGGGAAGAAATCATTTGTTTTGGGCTACTATGTAATTATTGTTGGGGGTGGTAAGAGGGTTTACCTCCCCCACCGTTGTATCTTAATTGTCTTATAAATTAATGAAAGTTTTCTATTATTGATCAAAAAAAAAAAATAGCTGTACCTCTACCCAAAAAGGTGGAGTATGAGACTCCTGCAATAATGTCCTCACAACACTAAGGATATGTCAATTCTTATGCTCGACCACACCATGCTGTTGAGGAGTATCTAGACAACTTCGTTGCACTTGAACTCAATGATTCTTCAAATATGATAAAATATCTCCATCAGTGTATTCTCCCCTTGAATCCAAACGGAGAATGTGCACTTGTGATTGAAATCGAACTCATACCATAGCATGAAACAACTTAAATGTTAAGAACACCTCAGACTTGTGGCAAAGAAAGTATATCCATGTGTACCAGGTACAATCATCAATGAACGACACCAAATATTTGTATCCAAGCCGAGAAGTGATAGATGCAATCCAGACATCACAATGTATAAGCTCGAAGGGGGAGGTAGCATGCTCAGATATGTGAGGAAATGGTAAGGTACGACTTTTACTTAAGCAACAAGAAACACAAGATGTATCAAATGTATCAAACAAAAAATTTAATTTTTAGCATATAAATGGCCCAAACATTATTTCTATGACTCATAAAAGAACTAGAAGTGGAGGAACCAAAATAAGTTAATGATGCTGCTGTTTGAGACTTCTCGAACTCCAATGCAAACAGACAGCCCAACCTGCGCCCCTTCCCTTTCACCTTCCAGTGTTTTGGTCCTAAATCAAACATCCATCCTGAGAGATGAGACTGTTACCTTCATCAACTAATTAACCAATAGAAATCAAATTTGTAGTGAGATTAGAAACAAGAAGGATCTTGGTAAGAGGGAAAGATGCAGTGGGTGAAAGCTCAAGAGACAGATCACTACTACCAATGTTTAACTTTTCACCATTAACAGTAACAATATGTTTATGATGGGTTTCAGTAAGGTTACTTGGTTGGTTAGGATAGGCTCTTGTCATGTGGTTAGTAGCTCAAGAGTCAATGATCCAAATATGAGAAGGAGAAGCACAATAACCGAAAAACTCACCAGGTAAGCCAATAGCAGAAAGAGCAAAAGTAACAAATGTTACCAATTGTTGAATGTTTTCCTCAACCATAGATGCTAGAGAATCACCTTTAACAAAAGAATCACCACCAGTAGTAGATTTCTTACTCCCATGTGCTACAATAGTAGTGTCAATTCCATAGGTAGATCCTTCCAATTTTGTAGGAATAATATCGTCTCTATCGGAGGTCATTTCAACAAAAAACAACAATCCAGGCACAAAGATATCAGAGACAACCAAATTCAGCAATCAAGAACTCAAGAAGACAGTCCAAAAAAGGCAAGTTTTTAAGACTGACGAGTCTAAAACCTTTCAAATATGAATTTGAAGTCTAAATCAAATAAATGGGAAGCAAGAAAACCCTAGGACGACACCATATGTAGGGTTATAGGTTGATCGAGTTCATCAAATTGAGAGAAAACTGTGATTTACCAACACATCAAGTGTCTTCTTCAAGAACAAGGAGGTATCTTGTGTTGATCGAAATAGTCCTTAAAAATCTCCAAACTATAAACTAAGTGTAGAGATAAGAAGAGTTTGAGAGAACCCTTCAATCTAGAGAGAAAAACTCAAATCGCAAGCTGATGTAGAAGGCCTGAAGTCCAAAAAAGGAACTGTACGGTGTTGCCGCCCCAAGAAGAAGATCAAAACTCCTTCGAAAACTTCACCAAATCAGATGTTGTTTGTAGGTAGAATAGATCAGTTCTAGGCGACACCAGATCTGAAGTCCAAAGTTGTTGTAGTCCAAAAAAGGAAACTGTATAGTGTTGCCACCCCAAGAAGATCAAAACTACTTCGAAAACTTCACCAAATCAGATGTTTGTAGGGAGAATAGATAAGGTCTAGGCGACACCAGATCTAAAGTTTGACCTTGAACCAATGTCTCCCAAGAGAGATCTAATGAAATCTCTCCTACTGGTTGCGCAAAGAAGACTAAACAAAAAAGGGTTGATCAAAACAGCCCTAAAACGACATGATTACTACTAGTGAGGTTCAAGAGAGAGAAAATAGATTTGAGAGCAACTTGCTCTGATACCATGTCAACACTCTTCGATGAATAGAGAAAAAAACAAGAATAATCTTAGAGGTGTCAAGAAATGAACTGACCCCCACCTCAAAGAGTCTTTTATATATTAAAAGATATATACAAATTATAAGAATGCCCATATAGGGCTGAAAGAGAAAAGAAGAATAAGATGTATAAGTAATATACAATAGGGACTGTACTAATAAGATACATCAAGTTACAAAGTCTCTACATACAAATCATGCTTTTCATGAGTTATTCAAACTCGGCTCATTAAAAACTCGATTCAGCTTGGTTTAAACAAAGCTTAAAACCAAACTCAGATTCAATATGTAGGCTCATTTACTAATTGAACCAAGCTTGAGCCTATTGAAACTCGGCTTGTAATGGTCACAAGCCTAATCGAGCTTATATTATATATACTATTTTTAATTTTTATATATAATAACATAATTTTTTATATGTATAAATTTTTTTTTTTTTTGTGCAGCTTGGCTCATTATCAAACTAAAGCCGAGCCACTCAAAAATACAAGCTTTTGAGTTGAGACAAACTCAAGCTCAAGCCGAGATCAAGCCTCATGTTTGAATAACCAGATATTCAACTCAACTCAGCTAAATTTAGATCCATCCCTATCCACTTGTATAACTAATCATCCCTTTAATAATATTGCACCAAATCAAAGAAAATGTAACATAAGGCTTCTACCATTCAACCAAGGATCAAAACTTCATAATGTATCAGGTCCTATCAATTTGATACCTACCGGTTTTGAAGCCTATGCATTATAATATTCCATTTGTTAGCTGATATAAACCAATACTATGATTAAATCATGTTGAAATGCTCTTTTTAATTGACTTTTTCCGTTCAAATTCAAAATTCAAAGCTCCCACCAACTCTCTTCCTATATTAACTCCTATAATCTCATTAATTCTCATATTTAACTCCTAAATCTGTTATACGATGATGTGGCATCGGTTCTTTATTGATGATTTGAGAACAACATTGACAAATTAAGTAAAAAATTAAAAAAAAAAACGGTTCTGATTTACCAAAATCTCAATTGGTTCATAATTTTGATATTGATGAACATTTCACCATGTAGAGTTGGAGAATTTTGAGATATTTCACTAATTTTGCTTAGATATTTGGAAAAATCTAAAGAAATAGGAAAGTTTTCTAGAAACATAGAGTTAGTTAATTAAATGTCAAGAGATCATTAGAAAAAATGCAATTCCAGTTTGTTTTTTCAGTTGTTTTTTGGATATCATATCTTTTCCATATCAAAATCGAACCTTTGGAAAAATAGATTTCTAGGAGATTTTGTACCGTCACCGAACAAATGGGGATATTTTGAGGATATATTGTCAAATATTGTCTATATTGTGAACCATGCTCTCAATACACATTTCCATATCAAGATTCTTGATACTTTGAACCTTGGTTTTATATACTTTACTTATACTTTTCTAAACCTAGATTTAGCATTATTCATGTATTTTTTAGGGATCTATTTGAGTTTTACTAGTGTATCCATATATATCCTAATCTTTCTATCATGTGTATCCAAAGCATATCATGATACATCTTAAAATTACCTTTCAGATACTGTTTGCATTTCTGATACTTTGGTCTTTCCATCAACCAATCAAGTCGAAAATTTTGAGGCCTTCTGAACAATCAATATCACTATTAACCTTTCCCACAGGTCCTCAATCCAATGACCTATGATGCAATACTAATAATGAATGAAAAAAGTTGCAGCTCCAAACATGGAAATAAAATCTGACTTGTCTTTCAGACTTCGAAAGACATATTTAAACGTAACAAGTTTCTAACAATATAATGTCCCATACAAATCATCTGAAACTAGCCCTGAGGTTTGAGACTTTGAGGCGAGTGGTCTACCTAGTTTCTTTGAGGCCTATATTGCAATACTAATAATAAATGAAAGGTTACAGCTCCAATCATCATTATCCATGCCTTATCCCAACTATATGGGGTCAACTACATGAATCATATTTCACCAATCTGTTCTATTTAAAGCCATATCCACTGTAAAATTATTAGTTTAAATCAGTTCTTAGTACTTCCACCCATGTCCTTTTTGGTCTATCCTGTCCCTTCAATGTGTAACAAATCACTTCTAAGTGGCATAGTTGGTGTTCTATGCACATGCCCAAACTATCTTAGTCTACTCTCATTTTATCACCCATTGGTGCTACTCCTAGGTTCCTACAGATAACTTCAATCCTAATCCTATCTAGTTTTTCCATTCATCCATCTTCGCATTTGCATTTCTGTCACATTCATTTTGTGGACATGTTTGTTGACTGCCTAACACTGTTGCATACAACATAACTGGCCTTACAACTGTCTTAAAGATTTTTCCTTTTAATCTAAGTGGTATTCGCCCATCACAAAAAGTCCAGGTGCACCCCTCCATTTTGCCTATTCTGCTCTAACTCTTTGGGTGGCATCCTCCTCAATCTTGCCTTTATTATGAATTATTGAACCAAGGTACCAGAAATGGTCACATTGAGTTATCTCTTGGTCTTCAATCCCAAGTGTATCTTGATATACTCTTCTTAAGGCATTTGACCAATTGTGGTAATAAAATACTTGACTAGCCTTTGAGAGGCTTATATCTAAATGTAACTAGTTTCTAACAACCAAATTCCCCAAGTCTATTACTGCAAATGCACAAATCATTTGAAACTAGCCTTTGGGTTTGAGGTGATTGATCCACCTTGTTTCTTTTGAATAAGCACCTACATGAATAAGGCAAGTCCGAAAAGCCAAGACCTATCTATGCAGTACAAAGATCAGAGACCTAATGGCATCTTTATGTTCCATTGTATATACTGATGCTCAGTCTACTGCCAATTCTTTTATGGTTGAACAAGAAACAACTTTTAAATGCACATAACAGATATAAACATGTGGATATGACAAAAATAGTACACATGAAAGGATTGGAGAAATAAGATTTTATTATATAAGTAGGACATAGGAATGAAAACAGAAAGAGAAAAAAAAAAGCCTCTAAGCCCACAAGAAATTCAATACAGTGTTGAGGATCCCCTTTGAGTACCTTATCAACATTGATGCTTTACTGCAGAAAGTTGCTTCTTGAGCTCCAAGACCTCACGACCATACGATCCCAACTGTTCTTTCAGTTTCTCAGATGCCTCATGGAATTTCTTGTCCATGAAAATCATCTCATCTACTGACTCCTTGTATCTTCCACGAAATGCATCTAGCTTTGCTTGTGTGTTGCGGAGCCTCATTCTAAGTTTTGCATTCATAATGTTGTTTGCATTCTCCTAAGGTCCAACATGTTATGGAAGAAATGTTACATAAACACAGTGAAATCCAAATAAGTTATTCCAATATACATATGAATGGAATAGATATTCAAACCCCTAATTGATCCACCCTCACCTTATAATAGCAACTCATGTTAGTAGCAGGTGGTCTGAAACCAGACTAACCATTCTATCAGGCACAAAGTCCAGCAATATAAAACCCTTCTTATACTTATTTTCATACACACAAATTTTCCTACAGGTAAAATCCATTCATGCCATGGATGTGAAGACCCTGGCAATGCTGTTGTTTGATTTTTCTCTATTCAGATGACTTCACCAAATTTAATGGAAATAACTATGCTTGATGGACTAAGTCAGTTGAAGTATTCTTGATAAAGAAAGAGAAATCTAGATATCCTATTAAAGATGAGCCCCATCCTAGTATGTGCAACTATTTTGGATAGAAAGAGGATGCACAAATTAAAAATGGTTGTGGAATAGTATGGAACCAAAATAAGCAGTAGTTTGATTTGATCTTTTTAGAAAAATGAGTAATAAAACCATATGAAAAAGATATATTTAAGGTCAGGCAATAATACTCAAATATATCAAATATTTCAAAAGTTCTTTGGTACATAACAGGGAGATATGAGATGAGTAATGAAAAGTGACTCCGGATCTCCTGCCCACGAGAACTCTGCCCATGTCTACCCACAACACACTACCCCCGTGAATTGGGAACATCTCCCCCTGCATAATAAATACCATGTAGGAGGATGAGATGTTCTCCATGTGTGGCTGCGATGTTATGTGGGTAGACGTGAGTAGAGTTTGTGGGCAGGAGATCCAGACTCTTGAAAAGTACTATTCAAAGTTGAAGGGACTGTGTGAGGAATTGAATATTTACCATCCAATCCCCTTCGATTTGAGGATAATGACAAAACAAAGGGTGAATTTATGTGGCAAAAATATTTTGAGCTCAAATCTGAACAATAACCTGTTTGGGAAGTTTATAATTGCCTTCCCTTTCAGATGCCTTTAATAGACTAGAGCTTTTGTCTAGATCTAGTAATACTAGTATATCAGATCACTCAACACTTGTGATAGTGAGAGAAGTACAAGGTTGGAGCCTATTAAACCTACTTCTAGTTTATCCTTTTACCTGTGTAAAATGTCCCACAATTTCCTTTTAACTTTGACTCTTAGAAAATTAACCAAATCTCTAAACTATTCTACTACACTTTTTCTCTCTTTTCTATGTCTTTTAGTATCTAAGGATGAAACCAATTGATTGGCATTATGAGCACAATAATGATGGTAGTTTGGGCATTGCAACATTTTAGTTTTCAACCTAGTGTCATTCTCCACATGAACACTACAATAGTCTCGGACATCTGTCATTAAAAAATTTGGAGATCAAAGTCCCTTCTCCCCATCTCTTAAGTTTCTTGAGAGTAAAGCTTGTTAATTTAGTAAATAGTATCATGTGCCTTTCCTATGTGTGGGACACCCTAGCATCATTCTGATTTTTGTGGCCCTGTATGTGTTACCTCTAGGTTGGGATTTTGATATTTGTTACTATTTGTAGATGATAAGTCTTGAATAACATGAATATATTTAATTAAAGATTACTTTGAATCGTTTTCCATATTTAAATCTTACTTTAAGTGCAAAGACAACCCAATTATACTATGTATTACAATGTCATGATGTTGCTGAATATAGATCCCAGTTATTTGATGAGTTCCTCGATGCATACAGGATGAAACATCAACCATAATGTGTTAAAACACCTAACTAGAATGGTGTGGCTGAAATGAAAAATCACCACCTATCAGAGTTTGCTCATGCTCAGATGGTTCAAATGCAAGTGCCTAAGATCTACTAAAGTGACCCCAGATAGCAGGGACCAGCATTGGGTAATGACCTTTCTAGAGACTCACGGCAAGATCTTTTGACTTCTAGCACATCTTCCAATAGAGTTGCAATTTCACAATTTGTTAATGAATTGTCCCTAAAAATTTAAAAAGAAAAAAAGCTTACATTCTGAAACCTAGTTTCCAAGGTAGAATATCTCTTAGAGAGTTCCTCCATGTCAACTCTGGCCTGAAATAACTGTATAAAATGACAGAAAAAAGTTGTAATCATTTTAAAAGATTTTAGAAGGACCACAAAAGTTGCAGGTTAATTCCAATCATCTTACCATGTCATCATAATTTTTCTTCAAGGTTTCCATCTCAATTTTAAGGGCCTGCTGCTGCTCATCTTGAGCCAACAATTTATCTCTTTCTTTCATCATACTGAAAATCTGGTTTTTAAGATCCTGTAAAGCGATAATTTGCAATTCAAAAAAAGAAAAAAACAAAAAAGATTAAAGCAGCTCAAAAGAAAGGGCTTGGAACCTTATAATAAGCATAGTAACAACATTTAAATATTAAAAAAAGAAAAGTGCATTTTTTTCTTGTAGTGCTGATTTGGACACAACCATTTTTTATGAATATAGCATTCCCCAATTAATAGCTAGATATTTATAAGACAGTACTTGCATATACTAATTCCTTAGATAATCCAAAAACAAATACGCACAATCTTCCATCCTTTAACAACATGCCATGCATTAATTTGTCTCTCCAATTTGATCACTGTAAGGATCTCACCAAGGGCATTGAGAAAATGGACACTTGTACTAGGAAACCTCCAAACGTTTCCTACAACTTCATGAGACACACCACCTTCTCCTTAATGAGCTTATCATACAGGTCTTCATTATCTCCTTATAATCCTCTTCCCAAACAAGATAGTCCTTTTTCAATACAGGTTTGTCAAGGAGTCTTGTAAGTTTTCCATAAGACGTCTTTCAACTCTTCCAATAATCCACCAACACAAGGTGGGTGGGATATTAGGGCTGATGTGGGCTAGAGAACTAAACATGTTGATGACATGAAGATTGTTGAGTTTTGGGCTGATATCACTTGTTTTTATTTACATAGCATAGTTAGGGAGTTATTGGGCCCAAGGCCCATTAGTTTATGCTTAAGTTAAGAGTATTTATTTAGATTTTACAAGTAGCTGACTTACTAAGGGCATACTTGTCTTTGTATTCAGTTTTTATTTGTGTATATAAGCTAGTGAAAGACGCAGCCAGACCTATTTTTGGCTTCTCCAATTCTTTTCAATTTCTCTCCTCTTTTCTTCTCTGCATAAACCTTCTCTTCTCTTTCTTTTTCTCTTTCTTACACAGGTTTTATATCAAAGCAGATCTTCTAAACTTTTCTACTAAGATAATTCTAGAATCAACTTAGAGTATTCTGGATTTTTTTTTTATTGTTTTGAATTTGTAGTATTTTTTCTGTTTTAGGGTAATTTGTTAATGTTACTTAATGCCACTAGAGTTTAATCAGATGATCATGTTCTTTGGGTCATGCTCAAGGTTTCATGAGTATGAGTTATAATGTTTTCACTGAGCTGAAGCTTGTTAGTGGTGTGTCAGTAATATGGATGAATATTAGCCTTAGCCCTTTTATTTATTACAAATACAAGTAAGCCACATCTAGGACAAAGAATCAGTGGAAAACATTTTCTGAGTTAGTGCTTCTCAACTTGAACAAGAAACCTAACTTCTCACACTTAACAGTGGTCAGAACAAAAAACCATAATTTAGGTACAACCATTGCTGATTTTTGTGTCAAGACAATGAATGCTATACATGATAAGTATTACGTGATTCCATAATGTAATTCCTTGTGAAACTGTGTCCACACTATAACTGATGCGTGCATGTCCTTAATTGAGGAACTATACCAGATATGGATGTGATACTTGGATAGTTCTTTTAAGAAACCGGATCACTACACAAGCAGCTTTAGAAGGAAAGACTGTGTTTTGGCTAGTCAGAGTAAAGTAAAAAAAGATCTCCTAAGGATCTTTCTCATGTCCAATGCATTGAGTGAAAGGAGTATGGACATCAGGCATCTAAAGGTAAAAGGTGAAACTTTTGTGTCTACTGCAAGAAGAAGGAAAACATCTTACTGGAATACAGACCAAGCAGCCACATAATTCAAGACAGTGCAAGGTGCAATTAAGGTATATCAGGAATCTCCTTCTAAAGAAACAGGGGAACATAATTTTCAAGGCATCTAGGTGATTCTGGGCGACATTGGGGTGCCTAGTTGCCAAGTCACCAAGGCAATAAAAATTTTATAATATAACAAACTAACTTTTGGCTAGTTCCCTAGTTTTATATACCATTCAACATGAATATTAATTGAAATAATAGCAATTCTCTTTATTAAGAACATTAAATTTCCACTAAAAATGTGGAAAATCATCACATCTAAAAGATAAAAATCTTTTACATATATTAATTTCATTATTTTCAAAAATAATACTACTATAATGAGTATTTAATAGAGCAATTTCATATCAATTAGCAGCTAAATAAGGTTATAAACTTTATATGACAAATATTCAAGATGGAAAGTAAAATAGAAAAAAACAAGCATGGGGTTTCTGTCTTATTTAATTAGAGAGATAGAGAATAGAAAAAAAAAAGAGCCTCTTTATAATTCTATTATTTCTTTCCTGTTTTTCTTTCTTTCTTTTTCTCTCCTCAAAACAAAGATGCAGATATTCAAAGTTTAATATTATTAGGCAGTATAAATTTTTGAAATAGGTTGATACAAGTAAGTAGAAGAATCAGGGAGTATTTTTTTTCTTTTGGGTAGAAAGAATCAGGGAGTATTGATACTTGATAATATTGAAATACCTTCTACTTACTAGCAAGCTTGTAGTAGTTCAAATTGGAATTAAGCCAGGAATGCAATCTTTAAGTGTTTCTGAACAACGATTATGGAATCTAGTGCCACACCTTCTCAGTACATCCATTATCTAGCAAGTGCATCTTTTTGGTAAAGTTGAAGTTAGATGGAACTACTGGTCTATATAAAGTCAAAGAATATGGGCTCTAGTTATTAGTATGTTGCTGTTGCATGAGCAAGGCTCTTAATGGGCTTAGTTATTCTTTGTTTTATTAGTAGTCTATTGTCTTTATTTGCTGCCACCCACACTTATGGACAGACTTTTCATTTCATTAATTATTGTAATCTGCTCTCATATTATGAAAAGAATGGACCACACAACCTCTAAGTATATGCCCCCTAATCTTCTTCTTTCAGCACTGTTCACCCTTCTTACCAAATAACTAAACTTGGAATCACTAAAATAATTATTTACTTAAACAAAGAGAATAACTAATGAGACAAAAAAATTAAAAAAAAATGAAATGGAATAAATAAACCAACTGGTTTAACACCTTAAAACAACTCAAACTTTAGATATGAGAAAAAGAGAGGCATAAGTTTCTAATGTTAACACCCATTTATGCTAGACCTTCTTTGATAGCATCCCATCTCAACTGAGGAAATTACCTTTTGAAGAAGCCAAGGTTCAACAAGCCCTCAACGAGATAGATAGGGATTAGTTGCTGGGACCTGATGATTTTTCATTAGCATTCTATAAAAGCTTTTGAGCTTTTTTGAAAGACGATAAAGTGATGAGATACTTGCATGAACACTCAACTCTAATTTCTGGAGGCTAATGCTACCTTCATCTGTTTAACCCCACAAATTCAAGGGGCAATGGACATCAAGGAGTTCAGGCCAATCAATCTGATTTGCAGCATTTACAAGGTGATATCCAAAATGTTGTCAAGCAGGTTGAGAAAGGTCCTGGGCTAAATAATTTTGCCATCCCGAGGTGCCTTCATGTAGGGGTGCAAGTCGGACAGGTCGGACTAGGTTTATGGTTAACCCAGGCCCAACCCTAAATTTTGGGCTTAAGGACCGAGTCCGGACTGAGCCCGAGGTCAAGCCCAATCTTCCCAACCCAAGCCCAGACCAGACTGTAATGATGCACTTGGGTAGGGCTCAAGCCCGGGCCAGGCTCAGGTTGGTCAATGAACCAGCTCTAAAATTATACATGTATGTATGCATTTGTGCAAAAATGTAAATGTATTTATATATCTAAATATGTATGCAAATATATATGTATATAGATAAATATGTATACAAATGTCTTTACATATATATATGTATGAATGTGTATAGCATAGTTTTCAAGGCACCAAGGCGAGGCTAGGCGACAGGGGGTCGCCTAGTTGCCTAGGCAATGGATTTTTTTATGTAAAAAGCATAGGTCCTAGGGTAGTTACCTAGGTACCAACTACGATAACCATATTTCCTTAATAATTATTCATAATTTTCATAAGAAAAATATAAAGTTCATGTTAAAGTATAGAAAAGAAAAAGAAAGAAGAAAATTGAAAAGGTATAGGGGCTGAACCCTTATTTTTGTTATGGGAAAAGAAAAGGAAAAGTAGAAGGTATGAAAGATATGGAAGAAAAAGTAGAAGAGAAAAGGTATGATAATGTTTTGATTAGACAAAATTTTAACTTCTACCTTACTGATTGGTTCAGGTTTTGAAGTCTTTGAGGGTTCAATACAGCATTTAGCAATGTTTGTGTTGATTAAACCTAAGAAATAAGAAAAATAAAGAATAAAAAAAGTATTTTATAATAGAAAGTACAAAACTGCTTGGCGATTAGGCAAGGTGAGCCTCCAAGGATGCCTCGTCACCTAGGCGCCCACATAGGCATCGCCTTGACAACTATGGTGTATATTTGGACCAGGTTTGGGCTGGGTTCAGGCTATGTAAGGGCTGCGTCCAGGCCCATCCCAAAAAATAAAAAAGCTCGAATTCTTGAGCCTGAGCCTAGCCTGAGGATCGAAAATCCAAGTCCACCCCATGTAAAATTTCGGGCTGACTCGGCTCAGGCTGGGCCCACCCAAGTTGCACCCCTACCTTCATGAATGGTTGATAAATTCTAGATGGATGCCTCGTTTCCAACAAATATATAGATTCAAGAACAAGACAAAAGGTTCCAGATGTGATATGTGAAACTGCTTATCTAATATCTACGTTCATGCTTCCCATCATGATCAATGGAGTTCCCAAGGGCTATTTTCAGGCGAAAGAGGATTGCACCAGGGGGACCCTTTATCCCCATTTTTATTCATAATTGTTGCTTAAACTCTCAGTCTGCAAGTGTTATAAGGGCAGGAGGCTACATTACAGGTTTCAAGGTTTCAAAGGGCAGCCAGCCAGTCACTCTAGTGTAATTTGTGGACAATTCACTCATCTTTACTGAGCCCAGCCATCAAGACCTAATGTTCTTATGGTTACTAATGTGCTTTGAAGCAGCATCAGAATTGAAGACCAACTTGCAGAGAAGTGAACTGTTATCACTAGGAGAGATGCTGGACATTGAAGAGCTTGCTGCCACATTGGGATGTCATACAGGTATGCTTCCTTCTAAGTTCTCAGGATTACCTTTGGGTGCAAACTACCAATCCAAAGAAATATGGCTTCCTATTTTTTAAAGGATGAAACATAAATTGGCTGGTTGGAAGAAGGGTTACCTATCCAAAAGCGCAAAGATTACCCTCATTCAAAGTGCATTATCAAATCTGCCAACGCATTTTCTTTCATTATTTCACCCATGAACTCAGTCTTGCAATCTCTAGAGAAGCTTAAATGAAATTTTGTGGGAAGGCAAGACATAAGAGAAGAAATTTCAACTAACAGCATGGAAAGAGGTGTGCTTGGATAATCAAGGTGGTGTTCGCATTAAGCAATAAAAATGATGAGGCAGGCCTTTGCTAGGACACTAATCAGGTTCAAGATCCCTATGGCTGCAGTTTATGGAAAGTTATTTTGAAAGATAGGGATTGTCTCTTCCATCTCATTTCACTTAACCTGGGCAATGGAGAAAATATCAGTTTCTGGAGGAATCATTGGTGTGGCAGCAGGCCATTATGCCTTGCTTATCCAAGCATCTTTGATTTGTCTCTAGACAAGGATGCTAAGGTGAGAAATTATTATGAAGCCACTGGTAAACAAATAGTATGGATTCCCAGGCTGAGAAGAAACGTGAATGACTGGCATATTTTCTCACCTCTCTTTTCGGGAAAAGTAAGTGGTTCCTTGGAGATGGATTTGGAAATTGAAAATCCCATCCAAGGTCTCCTTTTTATAGATGGCAGCTATCAAGGGCAGGATTTTCACTATTGACAATCTAAGGCCAGGAAGAATGTAAATAATCAATTGGTGCTATCTCTGTGGAGTGTCTGAGGAATCAATAAAGCATCTTCTCGTTCATTGCGAGTTCACATACAAAGCTTGGGTTCAGAGCTTGAGGCTGTTCCACACAACCTAGGTTCCTCTACCTGGCATTAAATGCTTGACCACTTCAAGGTGTGTGAAGAATCTCAGTAAAAGGTGTACCAGCTTATGGAACATGGCACCAGGAGCCATCTGTTGGTGTTTGTGGAGTAAAAGAAATGGCAGAGCCTTTGAAAACATGAGCCATCTGGTGGAAATGGTGTGTGAAAAGGTAGAGAGATGCCTTATTAGATGGGCATCCATCATTAAAGAATCTGATGGGTTTAAATATATGCATTTTTTGTAATCATTGGTAAATGCTGACAGGGGATGATAATTTTGTGGTGTAATCTGTAATATTATGGTAGTCCTGGCCCCTGCCCTCTTTTATGTTTTGCTTTGAGGGATCTCTTTAATGAAACAATAAACTAAAATAAATATAAGGTAAAGAAGGGACTTACATCTTGGCATCTTTTACTCTCAATTTCAAATATTTTCAGATCATTTCTTAGCTGATCAATCTCTGAAGACTTCTCCATGCTACAAAAGTGAAATATAATACAACATATAAGAAAAATCATATCTAGGAAATTAACCATTATAAGCAATGAGAAAAAATTGTGCGGTCTCCATAAGAGCACTATCAAAATATACATAAATTGACAACTGTAATGATAATTAATAGCTGTATGAAGCAGGTAGAAAAAAGAGTGGAAAGAAGAGAAAATATGAAAGAAACAAATGATGAGTGATGCAACTCTCAGCAGTCAGATGATTTTTATAGACTTCTATTAACTAGGTACAACGACTGTTACTGCCCCTAGCTAGTGTGGGGACAGAAATTACAACATTACTTAAACATAACAGTAGAGGAAGTGACATGAATGCCCCTATAGGATATCAACACACTTAACAACAACCAACACCCAACCGAGATAAAATAAGATTTTATAAATTATTTGTGCTCAATAGAAGCACCAATGTCCATTAATGCCGTTGGATGCAGATAAGATTTATCAGTGCCAAACAGTAAATTTCAGTTCACCCATATTCATTTTTCAGGTTGCCAACAAAAACAAGGTCAGTGACCTTCTATGAATATCAGTTGCCATAAATTTCTGTTGGTTTTCATACTTTAGAATGTTTCAACCAATTTTCTTTGAATTTCACAGTGTGCCAAAAGATACCCAACGACAGAACCAAGGGATATCTATTGGGTTACATAAACTTCAGTGGAAGGTAAAGATAAACAGTAAAAGAGTATACAATGCATTTAGCCGTTATACACCAAAACTTAATACAGAAAACCAGACTAGTAGTGTATGCTATGGATTGGAACCTCAAAATTAATTGGGAATCATGGATCATATTTTCTGGGTTTCCTACATAACTTTGAAATGATTCACACGTCAGAGTATATGTAATTTAATTAAATCTACCATATTCTAAAAGGGATTGATTGTTAAGATGCAATACAGGACATGCACAATATGATCCCAATCTAGATTGTTAGTGTTCCTGTTTTCTTCTAGAAAAGAGAGAAGAGAGGAGAAGAGAAGGAGAAGAGAAGAAGGCTGTTTGGGAGCCAAAAATCTAGGCAGGTGGTGCCCAGTCTTCTATTTATAATAATATTATCAAACATAAGGGTAAAAGTACTGTTAGTGAAGGGGTATTTCGGTCTTTGTACCTGTTGAGATTGCTGAGTTGTTCTATTATGTTAGTTCGAGTGCCTCTTACTTGAATAAGGGCACTGATGTCTTTTCCTATCACATTAATAATATAATAACAGGTCTGGCCGAAAGT